GTTATATTTTATAACATAAAATCTCCTGTTGGGTCACCCACACCTGCTTGTGATAAAGTGCCTGTCGAAATTGAGACACGTGAAGTGGTGACACTGACTTCAGAATTCATGCTTCAATAGTCGACAACAGCGAATTTATGAAATAAAGGCAACTAGAATTAGATAGAATTAATGTAACATTCAAGAAAACTGGGGTCTACATTTATTTGCTGGAAGGTTAAGCATTACATAGGTCAACCTCTATCTCCAAACATTGTCCCACTTCCTCCTGAACTTGTGCAGGCTGATAAGGACATTCATCACCTGTTTCCACTTCCTGAATTTGCCGTGCCTTCCCATACCTTTCTTGAGGATTCAGTTTGGCCTTCCATGGTTTTTAGGACTTTATTTCTCAGGTATTCACATACCCTCACTTCTATTTCTTATGACCTACGTCCTTCCTACATTTTTCCCAACTCTATTTGGTTTCCCCCATCTCCTGACATTCAGGTCCATACTTAACAATTTGCCTCTCAGTTACACGACAGCATAAGCATGTCTGATCCTCCACAGCCTTCGGATCAGTCTGCTCTTGCTTATCATCGTGCAGACTGTCCTTATCTCAACCAGCAATTGTTGGGTTCTGTTTTACCCATGGGGGGGGGGCAAATTCCGTGTTAGTTTAACCAATACTCCATTTTCCCGCGTATGTATTACCCTCACTACGACTCTTTTGCAGTTTCTTTCCACAATTCATCTTTTGTCTGAGGCTCTTCACAGAAATCCTAAGGGGTTTTCTGGGGACATCCCTCTCCCTCCTTACCTCTATGTTGGCTCGTTTGTTGTCTTTGGCTTTACGTATGTGGTTTCTCTGTTGTTGGGATCTTCTGGGTCAGGATGCTGCCTTATCAAGGGCCTGTTTACCTGCACCTTATCTCTGGAATTTATGTATGGTTCTGTTTTTACTGCATTTTGTATTTGATACGGTCCCAGAGTCTTTGGAATCTTGGGTGGCATCAGTCCAACAATAGTCAACCCTTTCTCATCTGGTAGCTCATCTCAGTTGGAGCCAAGTGTGGAACCAATTCCAGTTTTCCATCCTTCCCCTTCCCAACCCTTACCCATCACTCCTTCTCAAGGTGGCATAGCTTGTCGTTTTTCTCGATGATGCATGATACGTTGCCAACTGTTCCAGTGACTACCCGGTGGGAGCTTGACTTGCAGCTTCTCTTCATCGGTTGTGCCCTTTCAGCAATGATGTTTGGGTTCTGAAAATTTTATTGGAAGGATTTGAGATCCCATTTCTTGCCACACCTCCCTTGTTCCCTGTAATTGTTTCCTTCCCTTCAACTCGGAATCCCATTTTTTGTCAGCTTCTATTAGAGGCAGTGCACTGAACAGGCTATTGAACCTGTTACCCATCATTCACCAGGGTATTACTTCCATCTATTTGTTGTTCCCCCAAAAAATTGGAGATTGGAGGCCTGTCATCGATTTGTCCTGTTTCAATTGCTTCGTTCACCTCACCCATTTCACCACCTTCTGGTGGGCATTTTCTCCAGGTTTATGGATGACCAAGATGGATGTTGCCAATGTTTACTTGCATATTCCCATCTCAGCACGGTCTTGTCCCTATCTTCTGTTCATTCATCACAGGGTGGTGTACCAGTTTTGCACCCCACCCTTCAGGTTCCCTTCTGCACCTTATGTTTTCTGTCAGGTAGTCAGGGCTTTTGCTCATCATCTTCATGCCCTGGGGCTACATTTCCATTATTACATGGTGGAATGGTTTCTTTTGGCCCATTCCGAAGGGGAGTCAGCCAGTCATACTCATCAACTCATTCAAGTGGCTGCTTGGATGGGCTGGTTAATCAAATTGGAGAAGTCCTATCCAATACCTTGTACATTTGGGTGTCTTTTTCAACACTCACGTTAGTCAGGCCCAACCTACTCCTCTCCAACAGTGTTCTATGGAATTGTCAGTTCATCATGCTCTGTCTTCTCCCTCACTTTCTGCACGTGATGCTCTATTGCTTTTGGGGATGTGGTCTTCTATAACACCACTGTTCCCCCTAGACCATGCACATGTGTGTTCTCTTCAATGGACTCTGCATGATTGGTGGATCTTTGCTCTGGATCCCTTGGATGCTTCTATTACACTTCCTTCTTCCCTAGCAGATGATCTGACTTGGAGGTTGGATGAGACTTGCATATTGGTGGAAATCCTGCTTCTTCCTCCTCATCCAGATTTACGTTTGTTTACAGCTGCATCCCTTCAGGGTTGGGTGCATGGGTCAATCACCAGGAGGCTTTGGGTTGCTGGTCTGTAGACAAGCAGTCATTCCATATCAATGTCCTAGAGCTTCTAGCCATCTGTGGGGCTTTGGATCACTTCTTCACTCTAACCACACATTGTCTGGTGATGATTCATTCTGACTGTTCGATGGTGTTGGAATATACCAATCACTAAGGTGGCACCCAGTCAAGATCCTTCTGTTTTTGTACATTGGATCTCTTCTATTGTGTCCGCATGCACTGCATGTCCCAGGTGCTTTCAGTCTACTAGCAGATTGTCTTTCTCTCCTTTCTTATCTGATGGAGTGGTTCCTCCAGTCTCTCATTTTCTGGTGGTTTTGCAGTCAGTGGAGTTTTCATCATATTGATGCATTTGCCACCACCCTGAATCACAAGTTACTCCTCTTTTGGTCCCGGGTACTTCATCCTCAGGTTTTAGTTATTCATGCTCTCAGTCAAGATTGGGCACACAAATTCCTATACGTTTATTCTCCTATCTGATTGCTTCATCGGGTGGTTTCCCTGATCCATGCCGGGTCCTTCTGATAGCTCCATATTGGCCAGCTCAAATGTGGTTTCCTCATTTGCACCAACTCCAATTATTTCCTCCTGTACCACTTTTCTTATTCCTCACCCTCCTTTGTTAACCACAGTTACTGGTTCTACATCCTGCTGTTCACATCCTCCAACTTCATGCCTGGCTTTTGTCTAGTTCTTGGCAAGGAGATCTGTTTTTTCTGTCTTGTAGCTTTCAATTTGGCTCAATCCATATTTTCTTCTTCTATGGAAATATATCAACAGAAGTGGAAAGTTTTTCACACACATGGTCCCATGCTCAGGGAATTCCAGCCCCAACTTACTGTGGCTGGTGTCTCCGGGTTTCTCACGTGGCTTTTTGACTGGGGGGGTCTTTGGTTTCCTCAATCTCAGGTTATTGAGCTGCCCTGTCCCATACTTTTTGTCTTTGCTGTTACCATAGAGTGTTTGCTTCAGCCATTCTTACAATGTTAATCTGTTCCTTCCAGATTCGCCGTACTCCCCGAAGACCTACTCTTCTGGATTGGGATATCAATATGGTCCTCCATTCTCTTACTTTATCTCCATTCAAGCCTCTTCCCTCGTGTTTTATGTTTCACTTTTCCCTTAAAGCTTATTTCCTTTTGGCCTGTGGTCATTGATGGTCTGACTTGTTCACCATTGATGTTACTCACACACTTTACCACCATACCTATCTTCTCCTTTATCTGAATCATTCCTTCCTCTCTAAAACCTTGGCAGCTCAAGAGGATAACTCCTCCTTTTTGCTTATTTGCTTTCCCTCTATTTCTCATCTCTACCCTTGTCCCAATCTGGATAGACTTCTATGTTCAGTGCATGCCCTTCGTTGCTATGTTGCCCACACGGATTCCTTCCTTGGTTCCCATTTCAAACTTTTTACCCCATGTCAGTCTTCTTTATCTAGAGATCTCTATCCCCTTTTACCCTCACCAATTGAGTTCATTATTTGATGAATTTGACTTATTTTGATTTGTTCAGACGAACTTCTCATCAAGTTCGACACCTCACATTTTCCCTTGCTTCTCGTTTTTATCAGCCTTTGGACAAAATTCTGCAATCAGGCATGTGGACCACCCCTAACTTGTTCATTTCCCATTACTTACATAATATCATGGTTTCGGCTTCCTCTGGTTTTTGTCTTCCACCTGTTGCTGTTCTTCAAACTTTGGTGCGACTCTAAGACTGGGTAAGTCTCTCTTAATGGTTTATTTCAGGGTCTCATCATTTATATAGTTCTTACATGAATCCTGCTCTGTGGTGAGTGGTGTCTGATCAAGTATTCTTTAACTTTAAATTCGTACTGTACAGCCATGTTGACTCGTGCTTTATCTTTCATGGCCTCGCAATGCTCACCGTTGAGATGGGATGTTTCACAAGATTGCTTGAAGGTGAATAACTTCGTGATTTTTGCTTCATAAATTTGCCCATACTGGACCATACCACCCATGGACATCATGGGTAAAGCAGAAGGGG